GCGGTAGAAAGAATGAGAGAGAGAGAGAGAGAGAGAGAGAGAGAGAGAGAGAGAGAGAGAGAGAGAGAGAGAGAGAGAGAGAGAGAGAGAGAGAGAGAGAGGAAGGGGAGGGGTAGGGGGTAGGGGGGTATCAATCATCAGTTAGTTGCTCCTCGAGTATTTTTTTCCGCGACTGAATGTCCCGCCGGGTAAATATTTACGGCTGCGGTTATCACGTGATGATCGGTGTTTGGAGGGGGAAGGAGTGAGGTACAGATGGGTACGGAACGGAAAGGAATGAGAGGAACAGTACGGAACGGAACAGGAGAAAGGAACAGAAAGGAATGGAACGGAACAGGAGAAAGGAACGGAATGCAACAGGAGAAAGGAACGGAAAGGAATGAAAGGAACAGAAAGGAACGGGACGGAACAGGAGAAAGAAACGCTACAGAAAGGAAGGAATGGAACTGAACGGAACAGAAAGGACCAGACGGGATTGAAAGGGAAAGGGAGTAAGGAACAGTGTGTCTCGTATTGCTATTTCGGGCGTTGCTCGGACTGATCTTTGTGAATGAGGATTGAAGCCTTTCGGGGCGTGGGTGGGTGGGGTGGGGGTTGGGATGGGAAGGGGGGGGTGAGATAGAGATAGGGAAGGGGAGGGGAGAGGGAGTAAAAAGATGGGAGGAGAGTCGGGGAAAGGAGGACAGGGGGATGGGAAGTGCTTTTTGCCTTTGCCTCTTCCCTTCCTTCGCTTATCTTATCTTTGTTCCTCTCTCTCTCTTCTCTCTCCTCTCCTCTCCTCTCTTCTCTTCTCCTCTTCTCTTCTGTCCTCTCCTCTCCTGTCTCCCCCCCCCCCCCCTCATGAGCGCGAAGGGTCGAGCTCCAGGAGTCCCTTCCGCGAGGCCTGCCCCCGGCGCGGCTCGAGAGTGAAAGTAGCGGCGCCGGGGGGGAGGGGGCCGCGGATCGAGAAGCATTTCCCGGGCCTCGGGGGAATGGGCGCCCTCGGAACGCCGTCCATTCGTTTCCCCTCTTTCTGTATCGTGTGTACGTTCGTTTGTGCTTGGCGAACATACATATGCGTGTGTGTGTGCGTTCGTGTATACTGACGTGTATATTTTTTACGCATGTATAATACCTCTATGATAACGCAGACAAACGAAAACATACCTTTATGCACGGCTGCATACATCTACATGAATTATAACTTACATATATATAGTATCTACGCGTCCCTATGCATGGTGGGATAAACGCCGGGAATGCAGAGTAGAGGTTCATCACGGCGCTGGCAGAGGAACGCGGATGGAAAAGTGCGTGGGAGCGTGAAAGGAAATTAAACATCGCGGGGTCTCCTAACTCATCGTATGAATAACGCTTGTGGTCCGTCATTTCTACACCACGAGGGGGGTAGGGGGAAGGGGTGGAAGGTAAGGGGGGGAAGGGGGAAGGGGGAAGATGTTTTGTTGAGCGGTTTTTGGCGAGGGACGGGCGGATGGACAAGTAGACTAGCTGTGACTGACTGACACAGATAGACAGACAGACAATGTGGTTGCATGTACGTTTGTATGTGCGTTTGCGTGTGCATACCTTGGATGCTCTTGGGGTTCGGACGCCTGCCCCCCCTCCCCCTCCCCGTCGCGCGACAGCATCCTTCCCACGCTCCGTCGTCGCCTCCTTCCGGGTAAGCAACCTCGCGGGACGACGGCGATGGAGGATGGGCGCTGACCTCCTCCTCCTCCTCCTCCTCTTCCTAAGGGCGAAGGAGACGAAGCTGCTTCTGTTTTGTTCCTTTCGTTCATTTTCGTTCTTGCCTCTTCCCCCCCTCCTCCCTTTCCTTCAGTCTTCTCATCTTTCCTCCTCTCTTCCTCCTCCCTTTGGTTCAGTTTTCTCATCTCTCCGCTCCTCCTTCCTCCCCTCCTGTCTCCTCTTTCCTCTTCTCCTCTCTCTTCTCCTCCCCTCTCCTCTTTCCTCTCCCCCTCTCTCATCTCTTCCTCTCTCATCCCCTCTCCTCTCCCCGGGTCCTTGCCTCGTTTGACAGGGCGGTGAGGACTTCCTGCTTCACCTTTCCTTCTTCCTCCTCTTCCGCTGTCGTTTTTATGCCTTCCCCGCCGCTACCTTCACGCTTTTCACTTCTCTTCTCTTCTCTTCTCTTCTGCCTTCCTGTTTTTTTTTTCTTGTCATCATAATCATCGTCATCATTATCTCCATCTCCTTCCTCCTTTTTTTTCCTCCCTCCTTTT